GTGGGGGCTAAAACGTCATTTCTACGTATAAAATATACATAGAAAAGACGTCACGCGACATTTCAAATCAATATATCGTCGAAAGTATTCGTTTCTGTAAAAAAATAAAAAATACATGTGTAGTGTTTTAAAATAATCTATCGCGGAGAACCTAACGGGTTACCGGGACTCCGGCTCGACGTGCAGGAGAAGGAACGGAGTGGTTTTTAGTCAGTAAGAGTCTGACACTCCCTCGCGCCTCACCCAGGCGGGAGCAGTCATTCGATGATTATCCCCTTAAAAAAAAAGACGGACATTAAAATGAAAATTAATCATCAACCTTTTTATGATTATTATTCAGCGTTTCACAAAATATATGTATATACTTCTGCTCATAAATTGTGTAATAAAAAAACTTTTACAAAGTAACAAACAATAAAAACAGAAGCAACATTTTAAATCCCATTTTTAGAAACTGCAGAAAGGAGAACGAGGAAAATTATCGACTTCCAAAATACATTTATCTTTTGTTCTACCCTCCTTCGCGCCACAGAAGCAAAAACTTTTTTCTAAAAAAAAAACTTCTCATATCGCATTTACTTAGCGCCCCAACTGAAAGCATTACGGACAGTCGTTCACAAATAAACTAGGAAACAAAAACAAAAAAATATCTCACTTCAAAAAACAGTAAAGAACTTGTCATTTCTGTCCAATTGAGTTAGGTTGGGGTGGCCCAAAAAATGTCAACTCCAATACTGCTAAAGACGCAACGATAGCACATTTGCCAGGTAGAATCCGCTTTATTTTTAGCCCTGAATCGATTTCCACGTAAATATTTTATTTCTTTTACGGTGAACAGATAATTGTGTAATTTGAGGAAATTGTAGCCATAATTTCAAAGGCGTACGTTTCTGATTAGATTGACATGGGTCTATATTTGTGCTTTAAAATTTCACAGAAGTCCATATTCGTTATATTTTCTGATTGTTTTTGACAGGGTTTAAATATGGACTTTCATTTCCGAAATAAGTTAGAGTACGCCTTGATTAATGTTTTCTATCTTATAAATAAACAAAACAGTAGAAGTTACAGTGTTTTTATTTTAACCATCGTGATAAATACTGAATTAACTAAAATTTTTGAGTAGACTACGCGACATCACAACGCCCGCGTACGCTGCGTATGAGGAAGAGTCCCTGTATGACCCGAAACTAGTCGAGTTTTCTCAGTACTTATGGTTTTTTCTTCTTTGGCATCCGAGGTTTTCCCAGTATATTTACGTGAATAACCTGTCATTTTTAGTTGACAGGTACCTACTACTACAGGACCTATAAGTATTTCAAAATTGTACATTATAAAACTTACCTACAATTTCCAAATGCTTGTTGTCCCCTTTGTTCTTCAAAAAGCTTAACAGAATTGTGTCACACACAAATCACATAATTTTTTGTATAGACTTCTTAAAATTCCTTATCATCAATCACCCTTCCCATTTTATATTTCAATTCAAAGATCACGAAAAATTCCAGCCAAACGGAACGAAATAACTATGCATAACGATTTAAAATTCAAAGTAACGGATACACTATAAACGGTGCCGATGGAATGTGCCAACCTTATTAAGCTGAATGCATAAATGCACGCGCCATTTTAAATTCAACATTCAACTATGAATTATTAATGTTAATGAGAATTAAATTTCAGAATGATCGTTGTTCGTACTTTCGGTTTACGATTGTAAAATGTAGTAGATAAGAATGTTTTTATGGATGACGATTTTTTTTTTTTAAGGGGTGAAAATCATCGAATGACTGCTCCCGCCTGGGTGAGGCGGGAGGGAGTGTCAGATTCTTACTGACTAAAAACCACCCCGTTCCTTCTCCTGCACGTCGAGCCGGAGCCCCGGTTACCCGTTAGGTTCTCCGCGACTACGAATCGGCATCGTCCGTATTGGGCCCCATCTGTGGTGGTCTGATGGCTCTTTGAGGCGCGCGCGGAACGCGACGCGCCATACGCTCGGGTATATGGATGACGATGCGGTGATGAATTATTATAATTATGTTTGTCTTATGCTGGTAACATAGCATAATATCACGCCTTTTATCCCCCAAGGGGTAAGCAGAGGTGCCAATGTAACACCCACTTTTCAATATTTATGTTAGGAGTCCCATGTAATAGGGGGTGAACCTATTGAAAATTCGAGACTCCGTGCTACTACTGACATTAAAAAAAAACCCGGTGGTACTTTTCCCGACCCGGGAGTCGAACCCGAGACCCCTTCCCTGCAGTCATACTTGCGACTACTCGGCCAATGAGGCAGTCATGTTGGTATTGAAATCTAATCAGAAACTATCAATGATCTAATTATGTAGCATTTTATTTTATAATCATTAGCTGAAGAAAAGCTTTCTATATCTTTTAAGGTATTTTAAATCACATGATCAATGAATCAATCACAATCACATATGTTTCTCCGTCAATCACGCTGAAACTACTGAACGGATTTTGATAAAATTTGGTATACTGGCAGGGTATGAGCTGACTTAGGTGACAAAAATTTTATTCCGATTAAATGCTCCCATGGAATAAAACAGGAATACGTGGGCAATGCCACGGATAAAATCTAGTTAAACTGTCAAACACCAAGCGGTCACCGGTGACCGCAACCTATTGTTCTATAATTGTGTCTACAAAACCGGTACTCAACGAGTTAAATATTATATCTTCCACGGACAAAAAGTAAAGAGTTACTGTACGATATAAATATCGTACATACGTATCGTATTTCATTATATTTCAAACTACATTTGGTACACTGTATACACAATAATTTCTCTACAAGATTTAAATGTCAACCAGAAAATAATAGTTTGTGTGGACTGGGAATAAAATATACGCTCCCAACAAAAAGTAGTAAATCTATGATACAAGCGTTGTCTTTATTCTGTGACAAAATTGCTGTAGCGTCAAAGACAATAGTTTTCCTTTGGTATCCATTTTTATTATCATACCAGAAACCCGTGCCGCTTTTGTTTGGCACGAGTGCAATTTGAAAGAATATGTCGACGATATATACGTAAAGTAATTCACAGTAGGAAAGAATAGCTTAGAATATACCAAAGATGAATAAATAATGAAAAATCTAGTCGTTTTATACACACTGGTGAGACACTAGTTAATGTAGCAGACAAAAATCATAGATATCAAAACTGAGCTGGATTTAAAAAAAAGTAAAACAATAATGCCTAATTTTTAATTTAACTCGTCGAGTACCCGTTTTGTAGACACAATTATAGAACAATAGGTTGCGGTCACCGGTGACCGCTTGGTGTTTGACAGTTTAATATCTGTCTTGTAGATTATTTAAAATCATTGGACACGTATTTTTTATTTTCTTACAGAAACGACTACTTTCGACGATATATTCATTTGTAATATCGCGTGACGTCACTTCTATGTGCATTTTATACGTAGAAATGACGTTTTAGCCCCTACTCCTAAACATTGATTCGTTTTAATAAGTATTGTTTTATAAAACGACAAATTAAAAAAATACGTGTCTAATATTTTTTCATTACCTAACGTACGGACTAATTAGATTTTTAATTTTCATACCCTGTCATCATCCCAATTGTGTACATATGTATACTTATGTCCATAAACCGCTTTACCTAAAAGTGACACAATTAGAAGCCATACACATAAGAATAAACCATAAAAATATACCACAAAGATGCCTTAAAGTCCTGCAAAATTTCGAATATTATCTTTTTCTGAGAAAATCCCGTACACAACGCAGTCTCATAATTTTTCCGATAAAACTAGATGACATCTTAATACAGGCTTGTCTTTATAAAATGGAGTGCTATTAAACTGGTAGGGGAACATTTATTTCATAAAATCGACACGCTAAAACTTCATAGTATTTAGAACGTTGCGGCACGGGTATTCATACAAACTTTGAGGTAAAAAATTATGGAAACTATTGGACCTATTTTAATGAAAGTTGGTACCAACAGTTATACTAGTTACCTACTCATATTTACGTATTACATTTATATTTTAAAGTCTAAAATCGTACTTATGAACATTTTCGATAAAAATATTGTGCGAAGTTCATATGCTACTTGTGATTTTAAGTCTTAGTTTTTATCTCTTTGTCTAAACCTTTTTTAGAGAATACTGAAAGCAGTTTTTTATACTTTGATATGTTGCGTATGAGTATTAAGTTAAGGTTCTGTAGATTACACATTTGTTTGTTTGAAAAGCCACGCCGCGTAAAACCCCTCAACGATCTTCAGCCGATAGTATTGGTTGTTCCTTTAAAATATTGCTACCACATAGCGGTTTTTAGTTTTCCAAGCTCGTGGTTTATTTTCAATGTTTTATTTTTATTAAAAAACAGCAGCATCGGAACGCTATTAAAAGACTTTTTGCAACTTTTTAGGATGGTCTTTTATATTGTCTTTCATTGAAATTTAGTATTTATTTCACAAATATCGTTGAAATTTTATATTTGGTAAACTGTCGACCTATAAACATAACGCGGTACTGGTCTATAGGAAAATCTTTTAGTCAGTAAAAATATTTTAAAAATCTTTAAGAGGAATTTAAATAAGAATCTAAATGACTAAACTATATAGAGGTAATTATCTGAGTGTTTTCTTTCTAGAATGATAAATTTTACTTTTTATATCATCATCATAACATCACGCCATTTATCCCCGAAGGGATAGGTAGAGGTACACTTTACGGCACTTAATGCCACTGTACAATGTAACACTCACTTTATGTCATGAGTTCCATGTAATAGGGGTGAGCCTATTGCCATATACCGGGCGCTATTCCAGAATCCGTGCTACCACTGATATTATTTAAAAAACCCAGTAGAGCTTTGCCCAACCCTGGAATCGAACCCGAGACCCCTTGCCCAGCAGTAGCACTTGCGACCACTTGGCCAACGAGGCAGCCTACTTTAAATTTGTGACATCTTAATAAACATTATATTATGCTTGTTGCAGCTGTACTCGAGGAGACTACCTGAAGGTGTACTGGGAGGTCCAAGGTCCAGGGCCTCCTGGAGCTATCAACGAGCGTTCAGCCTGGGCTAGGGAGCTCTGTGGCAGCAGAGCTGATGCCCCACCAGCCCTCTACTCTCCAGGACCTTCGCTTGTTTTAGAGTTCCATACTGGAGCGAAGCAGAACAACGCTACAGGTTTTGTTGGAACCTACAGTTTTATTGATAGACGTAAGTACTGGTTATTTTTTAAGCATGCTTTGTTTAAGAGTGTCATCGATTTTTGTCGAAGATTAAATGCGGGGAAACCGTGGAGCTAGCAACATGTGTTGTGATATTTAATATGAACTAAAAATATAAGTATTTCAGAATTGTGTATAACATGATTTAAAAATCTTATAATTGTAGGTATCACTTAACTAATAGGGATGATGACGGGGTATGAAAACCAGAGATATATTTAGTCCGTCAGTTCGATAATGAAAAAATATTAGACACGTATTTTGTATTTTTTCATTCAAGGTTACAATATTTAGATAAAACGAATCAAAGTTTAAGAGTGAAAGCTAAAACGTCATTTCTACATATAAAACGTCTCTAGTTGTGACGTCACGTACGCACGAAAAATTAGTCATGTACGCATTAAAAACTAAAGAAGATAATAAATCAATTTGAAAGTTAAATTGTACCTACTGAGAGAGTATATTACTTTTTACACACAACCGTCAATAATTTGTGTACAACAACAATCAACAATATAAAAACTCAATAATTCATTTCATGAATTAAATAAACGCATTCACATTCACATACCTACATACGCTGCGAAAAACACGGAACCCGCATATTACTCAAAGATTTATTTTGGAAACGCGAATTCATACAGATGCGAAATTAATGAAGACTATAATTAATATACGCTTATTAAAACAGGTTAATGAGGGAAACTGTTACTTATCTCGTAGGTGTGTGAGATTAATTTCGTTAGTGCATTGCATAATTTGTTTGCGCACTGGACTTAAAATCAGACGTCCACAAGGCACGGTTAATTTATGAAATACAGGAATGTTGAGTTGTGAATTTTGCAAAGTTTATATTGTGATGCGTTTTGAAATGAATATATACGTACAATGCAATGTAACAATTGAAGACTTTAATATAAACTTCTTGGTACATAACTACTTTTGTAAATTCCTTTGTGAATTTTTAGGAAAGAGATTTTAAGTCCATTAATAAAAATAAAACAATATTCAACATTTATCAATCAAAATTATGTTAACATAATTAAAACATGACTGCCTCGTTGGCCGAGCGTTAGCAGATGCGACTGCCGGGCAAGGGGTTTCGCTTTCAATTCCCGGGTCGGACAAATAACACTGAGTCTGCAAATGTGTGGTATATGACAATAGGCTCACTCCCAATTACATGGAACTTATAACATAAATAGTGAAAAGTGGGTGTTTCATTGCACAGTGGCATTAAGTGCTGTTACACCTCTGCCTACCCCATAAAAGGCGTGATATTAAGTTATTATGTTATGTATAATGTAATTGAAACATTACTGTATGAATTTTAAAGTCCAAGAGCTGTTCTAAAATCCCATTAATTTAGATGTCCACCAATCAAAGCTTAGGCTATGCATGCGTACACCAGTATGCTCTATTTTAGGTACCCTTTGTCAGGTACGAGAATGCACTAAGCGGATATATTGATCAAAGCCAGTGGAGTTTGGTATTAAAATCCAATATTTATGCAAAGTGCTTGAATAATTCGTGGAGCATTTTTGTTTTGGAGCCCGAAAATTGATGCGTGGTAGATCCCCAGTGGGTCGGCACGTTTTTATGGTAGTTGCGGAACGTATTATGATTTGAATTTTGATTCAGTTTATTTTTTATAATACAGGGTCAAGCAAATGTTTGTGTAGAGTGTCGTAAATTGAAAAATAGTAGTTTTTTCTAAGTTTGAGAAGAAAACCGTATTATATTAATACACATTACGGCACTTAATGCCACTGTACAATGTAACACCCACTTTTCATTATTTATGTTATGAGTCTCATGTAATAGGGGGTGAGCCTATTGCCATATATCACTACTCCAGACTACATGAATTAAAAAAAAATAAAACCAGTAATACTTTGCTCGACCCGAGAATCGAATCCGAGACCCCTTGCCCAGCAGTCGCACTTACAAGCACGCGGCCAACGATTATACATTGATTAATTACACATTATACATTAGGCATTATTACACATTATATTACATTGATGTCCATTTTGTAAGTAACTGTAGGTAATAGAAGCGTACTGTACTTAAAATATTTTTTTAAGTTTAGAATATATAAGAATAACAAACCAACGAATCTCAGGTAAAATCTTGTGTAAAAATTTGAATAACAAATTCGTGAATAACAACACATCAAATCCAGCCAATTTACTTCAAACGTTCGTACTCTCTAATTTGTAATTTCTATAATCTGTTGTACAAACTTGAGAGCTACTGAACCGATTTTAACACGGTGTTCACAGTTGAAAGCTTATATTTGAGAGAGGTACTGATGTGTGAAATTTCACCCTTTGTCCTTGAAGTGGCGAGGACTGAGCAAACGTTTCACCTACGTACAAATATAAATACATAGGTACTCATCTTACTGTGAATTGTGTTGCAACATTAACTAAATTAAATAAGAATGCAAACGAAACAGATTTAAAAATTAATCATTGTTACACAGCACATCTTCTATTGCATGAAAACGTACACAAAGAACCTACATGCTCAAAATACTAAAGTATAGACACACAAATGGTTAAGCTAACTTCGCTCTTCGATATTTCTGAGAATTTACTAGTTCCATATACTAGTTCCATCGATATGGATTTCATCTCCCTTACAACTGGCTCAGCTTAGTTAGGTGACAATAACAATTCAAAATGACAGGCTAAATAGAACCCTAGACAGACAACCTCTTGAATCACGATTAAAAAAACTAATAATAAAATTAGATATGGGACAGTTAAAAGTACTTATTTAACCATATTTACCCCCGTCAGAGCTAAACATACGGGATCACTACCAAGCAGCTTGAATTAGCCTGATATTAGGCACCTATTATTAAATGCACAAGGTTTAAATTAGCATAATTATCAAATAGGGGATGTTAATTTGTATGTAAATTGCCAACTTCCAACATTTTAACTTCTACGTACCAAAATCTTTTGCTTCGGTAATATGTTTTTGTTGGATCTGTGGTTAATTATGTTGACATCGTGTGGTGTGTTTGCTGTGGCATGTGGCATCTTTTAACTTTAATTATTGATGTTACTAAAGATACCATGGTACTTTGGTTGACAAAAGAACGTAATTACGTTTGTTATTCGAGTGTTTTCTAATTTGTATAGTTTATTTCAATATTCCAAAATGATGTGACAGATTGAATTGTTTCATTTGGGATAAGAAATTATGGGCCCTTTACATGGACTTTTTTTAAGGGGTGAAAATCATCGAATTGTCATTCTCCCGCTTGAGTGAGGCGGGAGGGAGTGTCCGACTCTTACTGACTAAAAACCACCCCGTTCCTAGTCCTGCCCTTCAAGCCCGAGCTCCGGCAACCCGTTAAGTCCTCCTCGGCTCCGTATCAGCATCAGCCGTATTGGGCCCCAACCGTGGTAGTCTGAGGGCTCTATGAGGCTCTATACTCTGTACTCTGCCCGCGCGGAACGCGACGCGCCGTACGCTAGGGTCTGGTTCTGGTCGGGCGGCGAGCCACCCATGCTCGCCGTCCGCAGGCCCGTGCTTACGGTGGCCGGAGATCGTCCCGCGATCCTCGACGCCCAGAGTGTCCATCGCGGCGGTTGGGCTACTTTATGAAAACAAATAAAGCCTGTTTCCGAATAGGTAGAACCGATAAGCTCTACGGTTTCAATATTTTTATTCATAATTATTTAATGTAAATGCTATCTGAAAATGCACTTAAGTTCAATTTAAATATGATAGCTGTCAATTATTTGTGTTTATTCGTAAAACATTTTAGTTAGGGAGGTACTAATGGAAAATATTTGAGTAATTTTAACGCTTCTAAGACTAATGTTAGTAATTTATAATTCACGAAATAGACTTAAAACATCCAGTTATTTAGGTATCAAAATAGCTTTCTAGACAGTTCTAGTCGTCTGTTTATTTATTCAAAAGCTGACAACTATTCAAAGTATAATTTTGTGAACTTATTATAAATTTGTATTATATTAAAATGGCTACAGTAACAAGATTAGAAAATGATAATGATTGATGAGTAGTTTCGCGACTTTGCTTACAAATTGAATAATTATTTTAAGTTCGTGAGAAGGCTTTAAAGAAAAATAATCTTTATCTAGTGGTAATAAAAGTTTTATTGGATAAAGTTGGACAATGTAAAGTTTTACTACACAACCTACTCTCGAAGAATATTGATGATACCCATTTATTTAATATCTAAGTAAGTGAATTGATTTTAACGCAATTTTGAGTAACTAAAACTACTTAAAGAACGTTTTTAGCAGGAAATTCTCACTAGATTTTTTAACATACGCATTTTAAGATGCACGTTTACAATTTTTCAGAATAACAAAGTGCTATTTACGTATTGGGCATTATAATATATCTGATATGAGACATGCATTTTAATTACAAACAATTATTGCTCGACATAAATATTTTAATACTGTTGGATTTAATTTTGTTCAGGAACACAACATTACCAGGTAAATTCGACTTTCAACTGCAACATTTCGCCAAAGAGAAGCATTGCATTAAATATTGGCAGGCGCTATATAAGGATTGAATTTCCATTCAACATTTTCTCATTCTTCAACTCTTTACAAAATCCTCATTATCTTGAAGTTATTATCGATAGCAATTGCTAAGAATTTCAACCTTTATTCACCGACGAACTTTATCGAACAATAACGGTACAATTTTTCCACCGTTTTGCGACGAAAACAATAGGCAAGAAATGCCTAAAATCCTTGCATTGTTTGAATAATAACTTGGACATTTAAAATTTAAACGTTTTCAGTATACAAAGGGTTGAAAGGACATCTTAATGAAAACTGGAATCGTGATTATTTCTTGCTATTTACACGAATATTATGACTATAAGGGACAAGTAATAGAAGTTCATGTAGAGAATCTGAGTAGTGACCAGCTTCTAAGATACAAGCAATAATATCACCTAAATTATTAAAAAACCTTATGAAC